TGAGGTAGTATATGCAAGCACTGGTATGCTAATGAGGTAGTACATTTGCAAGTACTGGTATGCTAATGAGGTAGTACATGCAAGTACTGGTATGCTTATAAGGCAATACATGCAAGTACTTGTATGCTAATAAGGTAGTACATGCAAGTACGGATAGCTAATGAGGCAGTACTTGCAAGTACTGTTATGCTAATGTGTTTGTACATGCAAGTACTGGTATGCTAATGAGGTAGTACATGAAAGTATGGGTAGCTAATGAGGCAGTACATGCAAGTACTGGCATGCTAATGAGGTAGTGTATGCAAGTACAGGTATGCTAATGAGGTAGTACATGCAAGTACTGGTATGCTAATGAGACAGTACTTGCAAGTATTGTTATGCTACTGAGGTAGTATATGCAAGTACCAGTATGTTAATGAGGCAGTATATGCAAGAACTGGTATGCTAATGAGGTAGTATATGCAAGTACTGGTATGCTAGTAAGGTTGTATGTGCAAGTAATGCTTTGCTAATGAGGTAGTACATGCAAGTACTGGTATGCTAATGAGGTAGTACATGCAAGTACTGGTATGCTAATGAGGCAGTACTTGCAAGTACTGTTATGCTAATGAGGCAGTACATGCAAGTACTTGTATGCTAATGAGGCAGTACTTCAAGGACTGTTATGCTAATGAGGTAATACTTGCAAGTACTGGTTTTCTAATGAGGCAGTACATGCAAGTACTGTTATGCTAATAAGGCAGTACTTGCAAGTCCTGTTATGCTAATGATCGAGGCAGTACATGCAAGTACTAGTATGCTAATGAGGCAGTATACATGCAAGTACTGTTATGCTAATAAGGCAGTACTTGCAAGTACTGTTATGTAATGATCGAGGCAGTACATGCAAATACTAGTATGCTAATGAGGCAGTACATGCAAGTACTGTTATGCTAATGAGACAGTACATGCAAGTACTGTTATGCTAATGAGGCAGTACATGCAAGTATGGGTAGCTAATGAGGCAGTACATGCAAGTACTATCATGCTAATGATGCAGTACATGCAAGTACTGTCATGCTAATGAGGCAGTACATGCAAGTACTGGTATGGTAATGAGGCAGTACATGCAAGTACTGGTATGCTAATGAGACAGTACATGCAAGTATGGGTAGCTAATGAGGCAGTACATGTAAGTACTATCATGCTAATGAGGCAGAACATGCAAGTACTGTTATGCTAATGAGGCAGTACATGCAAGTACTGTCATGCTAATGAGGCAGTAT